TTCGGTTTGTGTGTAACTGGGTGTAACGTTAAGTTTGTGTGTAACTGGGTGTAACGTTCAGTTTGTGTGTAACTGGGTGTAACGTTCAGTTTGTGTGTAACTGGGTGTAACGTTCAGTTTGTGTGTAACTGGGTGTAACGTTCAGTTTGTGTGTAACTGGGCGTAACGTTCAGTTTGTGTGTAACTGGGTGTAACGTTCGGTTTGTGTGTAACTGGGTGTAACGTTCAGTTTGTGTGTAACTGGGTGTAACGTTCGGTTTGTGTGTAACTGGGCGTAACGTTCAGTTTGTGTGTAACTGTGTGTAACGTTCGGTACTGCTCCTCTCAGATCGTTGCAACAGCTGTGTGTCACACCGACGCCTACACCCTCAGCGGCAGCGACCCTGAGGGACTTTTCCCCGTCATCCTGGGACACGAAGGGGCTGGGACAGTCGAGAGCGTGGGTGAAGGTGTCACTAAGTTCAAGCCAGGTGAGCAGCAGCTGCTAACAGATGCTAACCAATGTGCACGTTTTTATTGATGCACGTTAACTTTGATATGTTTTGTTCAGGTGATGCTGTCATCCCTTTGTATGTGCCTCAGTGTGGTGAATGCAAATTCTGCAAAAACCCCAAGACCAACCTCTGCCAGAAGATTAGGTAAATGAGTTGAACATGAAAACCTCAGCCAGCTGTTCCCAGAACAACCAGTTGATCTTTTCTGTGTCCGTCGAGCAGAGTAACTCAGGGTCAGGGCCTGCTCCCTGACAAGACTTCACGCTTCACTTGCAAGGGGAAGCAAGTGTTTCACTTCATGGGGACCAGCACGTTCTCAGAGTACACGGTGGTGGCTGACATCTCGCTGGCAAAGGTTAATGACGAAGCTCCGCTGGAGAAGGTGTGCCTGCTTGGCTGTGGTGTGTCTACAGGTTACGGTGCTGCGCTCAACACGGCCAAGGTGAGCGTTAAAGGCTGTGAGACACCGATGTTCCTGCTTTGATTCTGTTCTAAAACAAAGGCACTGGAACCAGCAGACTTTGTTTCTTTGTTTAACGTTGGTCTTAACGTCAGCCCATGAAAGGCTGAGCTTCGTAGAACTTTCTTCCAGCGATCCTGATCCTCGGTGTCGTCCTTCGTCTCCTCCAGGTGGAGCCTGGTTCTACGTGTGCTGTGTTCGGACTCGGAGCCGTTGGCCTGGCAGTCGTGATGGGCTGCAAGGCTGCTGGAGCAACCAGGATCATTGGTGTGGACATCAACCCTGACAAGTTTGAGAAGGCCGAGGAGTTTGGAGCTACTGAATTTGTGAACCCAAAGGACCACAACAAGCCCATCCAGGAGGTTCTGGTGGAGATGACTGATGGGGGCGTGGACTACTCCTTTGAGTGCATTGGAAACGTGCAAATCATGGTGAGAACGTCCATTTTGTTGTGAGGTGTTAGTCAAACATCACAGTATGCAGGTACACAGGTGAACAATTGTTGGTGCCTCTTTTAAAAAACGTTTTTTATATTCTTGAAAGGTTAAAACGCTGTCTGTGCATAAACCAGTAACATGACATGTCAAAGTTCATGCTCAATTATCCAGGTAGATGAATCCAACAAAGTTAAGTCAGGTCCTCTGGACGGTTTCTTTTTGTTGAGACTTTTCGTCTTTCATCCAAAGGACTTCATCAGTCAAAGGAGCCACAACAAACTCAGTCTTAGAAATGGCACCTTATAGTGGGTGAAGTCCTTTGGATGAAAGATGAAACGTTCCAACAAAAACAAACCATCCAGAGGACCTGACTTAACTTTGTTGGATTCATCTACTTGGATTACTGAGCATGAACTTTGATGTTCTGAACCACTTTGGCCATGGCTGCCTCAGACGAGTCTGCTGGGGAGAGGGCGGACTCCAGAAACCATCTGAGCACCGTCAAACTGGTTGACCCACTATGTGAAGGTGCTGTTTATAAGACTTGAGTTTGTTCTGGCTCCTCGGACTGATGAAGCCGTTTGGATGAAAGACGAAACGTTTCAACAAAAAGAATCATCCAGAGGATAAGTAACATTACAGCTTCTTATTTCAGAGAGCTGCACTGGAGGCCTGCCATAAAGGCTGGGGGGAAAGTGTCATCATTGGTGTTGCTGGTGCGGGGCAGGAGATCTCCACCAGACCCTTCCAGTTGGTGACGGGGCGAGTGTGGAGAGGCACCGCTTTTGGAGGTAAAGAGCTCTCTGTTTTCTTTAACTCGGAGCATCGAATAAAGTTTTAGACAAACGTGTGTGTGGGGGTGGGGTGTGTGTGGGGGGGGGTATTCAGGATTTGCATGAGGTCTTTTGGGAAACCAGCCACGAGGGAGCACCAGCCAGTGTATCTCTTGTGCCGGTCCCAAGCTCGGTAAACGGTGAGGGTTGTGTCAGGAAGTCATCCGACGTCAAACAGGAAGTCATCCGACGTCAAACAG